CTCGAGTTGCAAGTCAGGGGTGGACTTGCAAATGGGGTGAAACAAAACAACACCCTCCCGAGTTGCGAGTGGAGGGTAGACTTGCAACTGGGCCGACAGAAACCCCTAGCTGCGGGTCGAGGGTCTAATTGCAACTACTATGAAATAAGAACAAAAAACAACACCACCCGAGTTGCGAGTCGAGTATGGACTTGCAACTGGGACAACTACAAAACTACATCCCCGAGTTGCGAGTACATGGTTGCCTTGCAACTGGGGCGATTAGAAACTGGGGCGACTGAGTTGGATGAGCAAGGCCGACAAATAGTCACTAGACCCACGACGTGACACGATACCCGTGCGAGAAAACAACTCTTGATCAAGATTTGCATGACATTTAAAGCGAAAAGATGGCTGAGTGAAAATTCATAAATTAAAAAAAGAAAAAAGAAAACAAAAAATAATATAAATAAAAGACAAAAGATCATGAGTATAAAATACTTCATAATTTAAAACAAATAATGAAACAAAAAATAAAAACAAAAAAGTAAAACAACGAGGCAAGAATAAATGGATAGACATGACGCCTTGTTTCCACAGCACAAGCACGCGAATGAATCAAAAAAAAAAAACCAGCTCTAAAGACTACAGGAGACCGGTACACACAAAAAGTCGATGGAAAAAATTCCACAGTAGGAGCGGCCCAGGCAAAGCAAAGCTGGCAGCTATAACGCGAAGCGGCCCAGGCAACAAAAAGTTATTATGCACGCATTTTGACAAACAAAAAGACACGAAGCTCCTACAAAAAACAAGACACGAAGAAGCGAAAGCAAAAGTTATGAATCTTAATATGCTATATCTAATGGCTAGGAAGTTAGATGTGAGATAGTTATTTGATGTGAAATAGCAAACCTGATAACTTAAATGCTAAAAGAAAGATTTAATTCCTTCTGGCGATATCGGAGTCAAGAACACGTGCGTCTAGCATCCATCAAATACCGTCGGGACACACGAAGCAGGATGTACATTGCATGCGGAAGGTCATGAAGCA